TGTAGAAAACCAATTGCTAACCGCAGTTTAATTGCATGACAACTTCCTACTCAGTTTCCCTGCATAGTTTTAGTTTTGTCGATTGGAATCATACCTGAAAATTATATGGAAGTGTTTATTTATCTTAATAACTTATTAGAAATGGATAACTTCATGCGTCCTCGCGTGTGCAGTTAGGAAATATTTTTCAGTGAATTGATCCGCATGTGGATAGTTCTGAGCAGAAGTACTTAATTATATGCCGCATTTGACTAAAATTTTAATCTTTCATTTTGCTTTATTATCTTTTTGCAGGTTTTTTATCCCATTTGTTTTGTGCGGGTGCTACTGCCTCCAATGATCCTGCGAGTTCCCCTCTTAAACTTGTGCTGGGACTGAGGACCTTGTGTGCAGTCTCATGCGTGCATTGACATCTTCAGGTTAAAATGGAGAGGGGCTCTGGTTCTTGTTTTCATGGTGAGTCGTTTTCACCTACACAGAAATTTTTCATGCATATAATTAGACAGTATATTTGATTTGGTTAAAACTCAAGGTTTCTCGTAAGCTGGCAGAAACTGAAGGGGGCGGGGGGATCTCACATATGATTTTAGAAGACTGTTTGAACCTCTACTTAATTAATGGAAGCTTCTTAAGGATACATTGTCTTCTGCTGCATATGAATGTCTAATCTAGACTGTCACCATGTTGTTATAAAGTCCCATCATCAATATGAGATGGTACAACCATTGATAATGTATTTTCAAAATACTTACATGGGAGCATTACTTTCCATGTGAAAATAAATAAATAACTATTGGTTTGACTTTCCTCGACAACACACACACACTGTATAGGTCTATAATGTTATGTTCTACTACCTCTGTAAATTTTATAAGACGTTTTAGGTCACTAAAGTAGTGACCTAAAATGTTTGGTAAAAGTTTACACAGGGAGTACATTCTAAAAGTCCAAAATACATGATAGTCACAAGGTGATGATTATTGCTAGTCATTAGTCCAATACAAGTGCAGCTATGATACTAGTGATTTTAGGAAACTAACTGAGGTTTTAAAAAGTAGATGCACATTACTTTTTAGCTAGACGTCCATATGTAAAAGTGCTTTGTGTGTGATTTTTGTGACCACTGTCTTTGATGTGCTATGCTAAAAGTAAGATTTCATTGCAGGTATAGTGTGTCATTGGCTTGTATTGGTATTGATATGGCTTTGTGGCTGTCAACATGTTCTGTCTCAGCAAACGACACTTAAACCAAAAGATAAATTTCTTCTGTCTGACCCACCTATTGGTCTCTTTGATCCGATAGAGATTTCGCCATCTGTTCTCCCACACAATACCAACCCAGTCGAGCCACTGTCACCAATGTATCCAAACTACACATCCTATGATCCGGTTTTGACTGGAAAATGCCATGTGAACTTTTCTGATCTCTCTTTTATTATGGACAAGACGGCGTCTGATTGTTCTGTACCTTTAGCACCACTAGTTGCCGATGTTATATGTTGTCCCCAAGTTAGTAGCTTGATGGATATATTCCAAGCTGCATATGGTGGTGGAAACAATACGCTTGTTCTCAATCAAGCTTCAGCAAATGCTTGTTTCTCTGACATCATGAGCATACTTGCAAGTAAAGGGGCAAACACCAACATCCCTGAGTTGTGTACTCTGAGGCCATCAAATCTTACTGATGCTTCTTGTCCCGTGAAGGATATTAGCTCGTTTGAGAGAATGGTTAATGTAAGCAAACTCCTGGATGCATGCAGCAGTGTTGATCCACTGAAAGAGTGTTGTAGGCCAGTTTGCCAACCTGCAATAGTGGAGGCAGCGGTTCATATATCCTCAGGAGGGGCAAGCATGTTCGGAAGTACTACCATACCTGGAAGTGCGGCTGGAATTAATACTGTCAGTGACTGTAAAGGGGTGGTTCACTCCTACTTATCTATGAAACTTTCATCAGAAGTGGCGAACACTGCTTTCAGAGTATTATCTGGCTGCAAGGTGAACAAAGGTATACAACTTTTGCTAGTTTTGGTTGGTACATTAATATTTTCTCTCTGATGTTAATCCCTTGCTTGGGTTGCTGTGATACCAAGATTTCACGAAGTTCATCATACTTCAATTACAAGTGCCTTTTTTTTTGTACAATCCGACCCTCCTGTCATCACTGCTGTCAGTGTCATCATACTAATGCATGGCATCAAGTGGAAATTCTGAGTCTTGTTCTGAATTATGCAGTCTGTCCACTGGAGTTCGATGATCCTTCTTCAGTCGTTAAGGCATGTGGCAAGGCATCTTCAAGGCCTTCATGCTGCACAGCGTTGCAATCTTATATCGCAACTAGACAGAAACAAATATTTGTCACAAACTTGCAAGCAATTAACTGTGCAACAATGTTCGGATCAATGCTACAGAAAGCTGGTGTGGGGAATGATATTTATGGGCTGTGTGATATTGACCTGAAAGATTTTAGCCTGCAAGGTATGCACAAAGATATTACTCCCTCCGTTCCAAAATAGATGACTCAACTTTGTACTAACTTTAGTACAAAGTTAGTATAAAGTTGGGTCATCTATTTTGGAACGCAGGGAGTAGTTCTCTTCAATATTTGCTTCATCTCGGAACACAAAATAACATTGTCTATTTTCCATGGCACCATTTGTCAAATTGGAGCAGCTTTTGGGCAGCAAGGTTAGTTCTGTTCGATCAACTTTATCTGGTTCATCATAGATATGTACTTGTGTGGTTCTGTGCTAAATTCAGTATTTCATTCTGTAGGTTGTCTACTTCGGAGCTTACCTACGGACATTGTATTCGACAACGTTACGGGCATTAGCTTTACGTGTGATTTGAGTGACAATATTGTAGCACCATGGCCATCGTCATCGTCTCTCCAGTCTTTGTCGCTGTGTGCTCCAGGTGAGAGGGAACTCACAAATATGCTTTGAAATGCATGCGGCACGAAGAAATAAGAGAACTTCCTTGCGACTGTGCATGTATTCACAATAAACTTTTGTCTGTTTCGGTTTCAGAAATGTCATTGCCTGCATTACCGGTCTCGCCATTATCAGGAAGCTCAGGTACTTCAACAGTCTCTCGCTCGCTAGTACAACCGCGGGTCCATTCGCTTGCTATTTGTTTCCAAAGAGACATTGCTAACAGATTGAAATAATATTTGTCACGACAGCAGGTATCTCCAGAACTGGAATTGGGATTCTGCTGCCTGTTGTGCTCCTCACCACGACCATCTCCCTCTGAGAAAAGCACGCCATGTACCGAGCCAGGAGCATCGTAATTTTCCCCGCTGTGCAAGCCCCGCGTTGTAAATTATGTCGCATTGCATTCTTGTAAATGAGCCTTTCCCTTCTCCCCTTCCATTTTGTCCAGCAGATAGCATTGTGATGTGCTAGAGAGTACCGTTGTACCTTTTGAGACATTATCTCTGGAAGTAAAATCTACCTAAACTTTGGCTGGTCACCTGGCATGGATTGCGATTTGCGACAGTGGATGATATGAACCGAACTGGTATGGCTGTCGATTCTCGGGATCATACAGTGCAGCAATCAGATTTATGCCTCTAAATTTTCAGTGAGCATATTGAAGTATAACTAAAAACCGATAAAATTTGCTAAATGTATTAGGTACATCCGTATCTAGACAAATCTAAGACAAGAATTTTGGGATGGAGGGAGTATGTCACAAGTCACTGATATTTGATATGATACATGTGGAACCAGCTCCTCAGAATATATTACTCAACCAGTGTAGTGTGTCAATCTTAGACTGACAGTGTAACTGGTGAGAAACATGGCGAGCCCAGAGTTTGCACTACCAAATAGCTCAAAGCTATCGTCGCTAGTCTGTAGAGTAATTGCAGATTGAAGAATTAACACAGATTGTTGAATAAGTTACAATGGCCCGTCGCTAGTCTGTAGAGTAATTGTAGATTGAAGAGTTAACACAGATTGTTGAATAAGTTACAATGGCCCATTGATCGGCCAATATTCTTGTAAGATGAAGTTGCAATGCAATGGAACACACATTGTCAGCGACCCAATTACGGCCACAGCAGCCCATGGGCCGGGCCTGGTTTTGGTGTGTTCTCCCCTCTCGTTAGGGTTTTCCTCTACTCTCGGCGGCGGCGACTTTCGCCCCATCATAGAGATCTTTCTACCCCGCGCCCCTTCTCCCGCCCGTGTCAGCCGGGGCCCTGCGGGCCTCGTCGGTGGTGAGGGAGGAAAGAGCGATGGGGACCGTACCGCCCGCGGAACAGGATTTCTCGGGCAAGAGAACTATGGAGGATGGTGCGTCTGGTTCAGGCACAGGAGTGACCGATCTGGAGGCGATGATGGAGGAACTCGGGCTGAAGGAAGAGGACCTTCAAGATGTGGTTGTGGAGGACGATGAACTACCTGCTGAAGCGACACGGTGGATGGCAATAGCAAGAGTTCATACAGAGAAGACCTACAGCCAGTATTGGTTTTATAAGAACATGAGGGTAGCGTGGGATCTGGCAAAGGAGGTGAAGATCAGACCGCTGGAAGAGAATCTGTATACGATGCAATTTGGCTGTCTAGGGGATTGGGAACGAGTGATGGAGGAGGGCCCGTGGAATTTCAAGGGGAAGGCAGTGGTACTGGCCCCTTATGATGGCTACACCAAACCGTCGACAATAGAGCTCAACAAGTTGGATATATGGATGCAGATCCATGACCTTCCAGATGGTTTCTTCCCTAAGATCAAAGCGTTGTCAGCCACAGTGGGTGAATTTATTTATGCTGAGCCCAAATCACATGATTTTGAGGGGAACTTTGCTCGCGTGAGGGTGAGGATTGATGTGACAAAACCTCTGAAGAACGTTGTCTCCTTGGTGATCAAGAAAAAGGATGCGGTGCAGAGAGTTATCTTCAGGGTAAAGTTTGAACGATTACCGGATTGGTGCGCAGTCTGTGGATACCTTGGGCACTTGTTCAAAGAATGTGGCGACGGGGTGCATTACCCAAAAGCACTAGTCTTCAAAGACCTGAAAGCTTCGTGGTTTAAGGGGCCAGGCCAAGGGCCAGGAGAGGGCAGCGGTAACAGGGGAGGAAGAGGCCGTGGCCGTTCTAACAGGGGTCGTGGCAGGGGCGCGATGCAACAGAATCCGCTCTATGATGGGGAAGAGACCGATCCTGAGGAGTTCGGTCATGACGTTACAATGGAGGGGGTGGAGCAAAACAGGAAGAGAGGTGCAGCGGTAGCCAACTTGACGGTCATACATAGGTCGACATCCACACCAGATCACACGGCCAAGGCGTTGATGCCACCACAGTCGGAGGTGCCTCCTAGTCCATCATCGAAGCAGGATCTGAAAAGAACCAAGTCAAGTTCATCAACTAGCGAGCAACTGACCGGGAAGAACACAGCGGTGACCAAAAACACAGATGCGCGTTTGGCGGGCCTCCAAGGGGGGTCGCGCCTAGCGCAATGAATATCCTATGTTGGAACTGTCGAGGGGCTGGCAAACCCTCGACAGTTCGCGAGCTTCGCGATATGACGAAGCAATTTGCCCCCTCTATAGCTTGTATACTTGAAACACAAATAGAGGGCTCCAGAGTGGAGAATCTAGCCGGTACCTTAGGGTTTGATAAGAGTTTCGCTATCAGTAGTTCTGGTAGAAGTGGTGGACTAGGAATTTTTTGGAATGAATCAATAAAGGTAGAAGTTATTGGCTACTCTGAGTATCATATTGATGTAACCGTTGAGGATGGGGGTTCTATTAGCAGGGTAACTTTTGTTTATGGAGAAGCACAAGTCCCAGAGAGATACAAAACGTGGAACATGTTGAGGGGAATAGCCAGATCTAGTAACCTCCCATGGACAGTAATAGGCGACTTTAACGAAGTGTTGATGGCCCAAGAGCACGACGGGGTTGGGGAGCGGAGTCAAGCTCAAATGGATGCATTCAGGGATGCTATAGACACGTGCGGATTGGTGGACATAGGCTACCAGGGGAACAGCTGGACCTTTGAGAAAAAGGTCGCGGGCGGCACATATACACGCGTTCGGCTGGACAGATGCGTTGCCACGCCTAGTTGGATGCTCCTGTTTCCGCATGCAATACTACAACACCAGATAGCAGCGTCATCTGATCATTCGGCACTGTTGCTTCGATGTGACCACGTGCTTGCATGCAAAAGTGGCCCACGATCCTTTAAATATGAACTAGCATGGGAACGCCACCCGGATCTCATGCAGTTTGTGGACACGGGATGGAAATCAGCTCCTAGTGAGAGCGTGGCTGGGATCCAATCAAAGTTGTCCCTTCTTTCATCTGATTTAACAACCTGGGAGCGCACCCATTTTGGCAATGTGCGTGTGGAGATAGGCAAACTGAAAAAGGAGTTGGAAGCCTTGCGGTCGGCTCCAGGGAGATTCTATCCCTCACATGTGGAAACCAAGATAACAGATAGACTTGTGGAGCTATATCACAGAGAGGAAATCCTGTGGAGGCAGCGGGCACGTCTTGAGTGGCTCGCTCACGGAGACAAAAACACGTATTTCTTTCACTTGCGAGCAAGCAGACGGCGGAGGAAAAATCAGATCAAGGGATTGCAGATGCCAGATGGCCGCATCACAGAGAACAAGGATGAGCTTGAGGCTGCGACTACAACTTTCTATAATACCCTTTACAGTTCGGAAGGAGTGCAGAACATGAACGAGGTAATTGACACAGTACCTCGCAAGGTCACAACCGAGATGAATGAAACCCTGAATGCGCCATACACACAGGATGAGGTTAAAAAAGCATTGTTTCAGATGTTTCCTCTTAAGGCACCAGGGCCAGACGGCTTTCCGGCACATTTCTTCCAACGACACTGGGAGGTTTGCGGCGATGAGGTAACAAATGCTGTGCTCAGAATTGTGGAGGGCACGGAGTCGGCCGAATGCATCAATGACACTTTGCTGGTTCTGATTCCAAAGGTAAAAAACCCAACTCTGCTAACACAGTTTCGCCCGATCAGCCTTTGTAATGTACTGTACAAGATAGCTTCTAAGGTCATTTCCAACCGCTTGAAGTTAATCTTACCGGACATAATTTCAGAAGAACAGTCAGCTTTTGTTCCAGGTAGGCTCATCACAGACAACATCATAACGGCATACGAGTGCCTTCACTTTATGAAAAGGAACAAAGCGAAAAAGAACCAGCATTGCGCCTTAAAACTAGACATGATGAAGGCGTATGACAGGGTGGAATGGTCTTATCTCCAAGCAATCATGTTGAAACTTGGCTTCTCAGAAAAATGGGTCGGGATTGTGATGAGCATGGTCACGTCAGTCAAGTTTTCTGTCTTGTTCAACGGTAAGAAGCTTCAGCAATTTATACCGACACGTGGGATCCGACAGGGGGACCCTATCTCTCCTTATTTGTTCTTGCTAGCAGCAGAGGGCCTTTCGTGCCTCATAAAATCAAAAGAAGAGTCACCTAACCAGAGCGGACTTCAAGTGGCTCCTTCGGCGCCGCATGTTAGTCACTTATTATTTGCAGATGACAGCCTGCTGTTTTTCAAGGCGAATGGAGTGGGAGCTTCAAGGGTGCACCAGCTGTTGGATACATACTGCCAGGCCACGGGACAGAGGATCAACTATGAAAAATCATCCATATTTTTCAGCAAGGGGGTTCCCGACTTGTTAAGAGGTGAAATCAAAGGCTTACTCAACGTCCCAAATGAAACTTTGAGTGAAAAATACCTCGGGATGCCATCGGATGTGGGCTCCTCCAAAAATGGCGCCTTCAAATACCTCAAGGATCGCTTGTGGAATAAGGTGCAGGGTTGGATTGAAAAAACCATGGCAACGGCGGGGAAGGAGGTACTGGTCAAGGCGGTTGCGCAGGCAGTCCCGGTCTATTCCATGTCGTGCTTTAAGCTGCCGAGAGGCTTGTGCGAACACTTAAATATGCTAATCCGCAAGTTCTGGTGGGGTAGCAGAGATGGCAAGAGGAAACCTGCATGGGTGGCCTAGAAAGATATGATACAACCAAAGGACATGGGAGGCTTGGGCTTTAAGGACTTTGAGCTCTTCAACCTGGCCTTGCTTGCCAGGCAGGCTTGGAGGATCCTACAATCACCAGAATCTCTAAGTGCTCGTGTCCTCAAAGCCGCGTACTTTCCTGCTACGTCGATACTCGAGGCAGCCCTCGGCAGCCACCCAAGCCAAATATGGAGAGCCATAGCCGAGGGGAGGGACATACTGAAGCAAGGGTTGATACGCAGAATCGGTGATGGGGCCACCACAAATATATGGAATGACAACTGGCTGCCGAGAGAAGAGATGATGAGGCCTT